TTCCAAGATAAACACTTAAAGGTCATCAGCCTCTTTCTGGAGCACAGAGCAAAATGCTTGAAGATCATCCGAAAGCTTCGATCTCGCTCCTCCCATCGCTCCACTCTCTTGTACAGTACTCTTAACTGCCTTCTTGTCTTGTCTTTCCTGTTGTTGTTGTTGCTTTTGTTTAAGTAGTTTAGATTGAGCTCTAGTTATACGTTGATCTTTAACTTCAGTCAACTGAATCAAATCCAAAATTGGAGAAGAATCAAACAAGGGCTCACTCAGAAAACCTCCTTCTGCACCTTGCACTACTTCTAATTCCTGCTTAGACTGTTCTTGCAATTGCCTCTCTTCACTCTCTTTAATCTCCAAAACTGTGGATGTACGTGGAGATGGTGTTCTTTCCTTAAGAATAGTAGTGTAAAAGTGTTGTGCCTTCTCCACGGTATTCAACCGATATCCTTCTCCCTTATATCTAAAAATTATCCCAGCAGGAGCGTCCCACCGGAAGGGTATCTGTAAATTTCTCAATTCCTTAACAAGAAAACCAAATTCTTTTCTGGCTTTCAACATTTTAGGAGGTAGTTCTTTAAAGATTTCAAGTCGTGAACCCCCCACTTGTACAGAAGTATGAAAAGATTTTTGCAGGATATCATTTCTAATTCCTCTATCTGTAAAATATATGACCACATCTCTAGGCAGTTGTCTTTGTCTGGCCACCCAAGAGTTCACTCTATAGCTTTTATCTATTTTGTGAAATACCACATCAGGATTAACTTGTAAAATCTTGGCCAAGGCTTCAGAACAAACTTGTCTCAAATCCTGTCTCTCCCCCTCTCGAATTCCCCGAAGCCGTATGGCGAATTCCATCGCCCGGAATTGTATCATAACAATCTCATCTTCAATTCTCTGCATTTTATTGTCAACTTCATCAATTTTATAATCATTGTCTTTCATCTTGACATTAACTTCTGATTTAAATTCTTCAACTTTAAAATCAACTTTCCCAATAAATTCTGCCAGGCCAGACACCACTTCTGAAATTTTTTTGGTCACCTTATTTTGATTCTGTTTCACCATATCTTTGACTTCATTAATTTCCTGCATAAATTCCTGATGTGATTTTTGAAGTTTATCATCTATCTCCTGTTGACATTTTAAAAATTTATCATCCAGAGTTTTAGAAATAAATTGTTTTAAATCTCCCACATCAAATTCTTTTTTCTGGGTCTGTAACTGCTGTGCAGAGGGAGGCTGCGTTTCTTGTTTATGTGTGGGGGATCCCCCCCCTGCTGCCTTCCCTTCCTGCTTCTTTGAAGCCATCTTGCCACGTAGTCTGGATTTTCTAAAAGGGGAAGTTCCTTTTCCTTTCCCTCCTGCACAAAGACTTCTAAAAAAGTCCCCCAGATTTAATCAGTTAAAAGCTAAAGTAAAACAAAGTCCAGTATTAAAAAGGGAGAAATTTTCCACTTGCTTCTCTTCTCTTATAGCAAACAAGGTAACTTTGCAACAACTTGGAAACTTGTAACACAAAATAACTTCACCAATCCACATTCATTGGCTCGTTAACTTTAAGGCTAAGCGCCATGTTTTTTTTCAAAGCACTTTCACTCACTCAAATTTGTCTCGGTTTGAAAAGTCAACAAAGCGCTGATACTTGCGTTTCCAAGTTTCAGGGTTCAGATAGGTTCGCTGTTTGTTAAAGCTGATTCTTTTCAAATTACGTTTCCTGCGGCCGGCTTGTTTTGCGAAGGCAAAATCGTCCCACGTCGCCCGGAGTTTCCGCAGTTTTTCTGGATCTTTATATCCCAGAATCGCATCATCCACTATCAGCAATGCTCCAGCTGGAACAGGCAGAGGTTGTGGCTTAAAGGCCATGCCCTGCAAGTGGTGCTTTCCACATGCCCACCTCAAGACAAGCGAGCAGTGTGGGCAGGAGGGCGCGAATCATCAGGGCAGCCTGAAGCAACATGCTCTGGACCAGCAATCGGACTGCAACATTCTTGTCAGACCACCTCTTCAGCTGATCCCCAAGGCCCCCGCCTATTTTGACTGCAAGCAAGACCAGAACACCAAACTTCCACACAACTATTTCTGAGTGGGTGGACCTTGAAACTGATTATTCCAGGCCTGTCTGAAAAAGTGAAATTTAAAATATACTGAAAAGACTTGGGTGAACTTCGTAGTGAACCCCTTTCTCAGAAGCATGTAGCTCCACAACCTACATTACTCTTGAGGACACTCAAGAGTTACAACCACTCCCTTGCTGCCACCTATTGGTGGAACAGTTTCCTGCTCAACCAGGGGTTTAGGAACAATTTTTTAACAGATTCAAGTAGTTGATAAAACAAAGGGAAAGAAAAAAGAAAGAAAAATGCAGCATATTTCAGTCAAGGGTGCTCCTGTAATCACATGTGGAATGACCTCACAATAAAATAGCTCTCACAATTCACAATAAAATAGCACTGTTCCAATATTTGAGGGGCTCCTACAAAAGTGAAGGGGGTCCATCTATTTTCCAAAGCACCAAAAGGCAAGACAAGAAACAATGGATGGAAACTAACCAAAGAGAGAAGCAACCTAGGATTAAGGAGAAATTTCCTAAGGGTGAGACCAATAAACCAATGGAATCGCTTGCCTTGAGAAGTTGTGGGTGCTCCATCACTAGAGGTTTTCAAAAAGAGAGGGGACAACTATTTGTCTGAAATGAGCAGGGAGTTGGACTAGAAGACCTCTGAGGCAGGGATGAAATGCTACTGGTTCGGGCCGGTTTGCCTGAACCGGTAGTAAAAAAATATATAAAAAAAAAGTTCCGACAATCAGCTGAGCGACATGCGATCATCGGAACTTTTTTTTAAGCATTTATTAAGCATTTTTTTACTACCGGTTCTCTGGAAACGGTAGTTAAAAATGCTTTAAAAAGTTTTTTTAAAAAACTTCTGACAACTGTGCATCACTCAGCTAATAGTTGGAACTTTTTTTAAAAAAAAAATTAAGCATTTTTTTACTACCGGTTTGGGTGAATGGATAGTTAAAAAATGCTTTAAAAAAGTAAAAAAAAAAAGGCTCAGACGATCGCACGACACAGCTGTGATCTACTACTTACTAACTACTTATTCACCCAAATCGGTAGTAAAAAAATGCTTTAAAAGGGTAAAAAAAGGCTTCCAAGATCACAGTTGTGCCACACGATCATCGGAACCTTTTTTAAAAACTTTTTTAAAGCATTTTTTTACTACTGGGTTGGGCAAATAGGTAGTAAAAAAATGCTTTAAAAAAGTTTTTAAAAAGGCTTGGATGATCGCACAGCATAGCTGTAATTGTCAGAACCTTTTTTTTACTTTTTAAAAGCATTTTTTACTATCTATTTGCCCGAACTGGTAATAAAAATGCTTTTAAAAGGTTTTTAAAAAGGTTCCCAAGATCGCGCCCCACAGCTGATTCCCCCCCTCGCTGTTCTACTTATCTTCCCAAGCCTCCTTTTAACATGTAATGTGCATGTGCGTGCAGCACGTGTTTGGTGTGGACTGTGCATTTGCGCATGTAGCAGCCAGCGAACCGTTAGCAAACAGGTTCAGATTTCACCACTGCTCTGAGGTCCCTTCCATTATTCTATGTTCTCTATGTTCTAACTTGGGTGTTTCACAGCAGAAGCAACACAGCTGGCTGGACCTCACATGCACTACATTCAGGGCCCATAGGATCACGCTACATCATTGTCTCCTCCTGTATCTTTCCCCCCAGGAAGAAACAAGAAGTAGCCAACACTGCAGCAGCTATAAAAGGTCTTGGGGAACTCCAGGGAGTATCAGCTGATGACAGAAGTGTAAATTAATACCCTTTACAATTGAAAATGTTTGTAATCTTGTCCTTCTTCCTGAAGGGAAGAGGTTAATCCCCTCCCTAAATGGGTGATTGATGGGTTTTCTGGTGTTTCCCTGCCCTAATCGTATCAGTTTCTATTGTTTATTGACTTTATTCAAGGTGTGTGCCGGCTGCATTCCTGTGCTTTTGTTATCACAGCTAAGTAGCCTGTTAAATGGTTCTTGGCCGTCTGCCTGGAGCTATTAACTGACGGGAGAGAGAAGGAAAAAAAACCTCTTTTGCCCTTTATTTTCAGTTGGTTCTCCAAACTACACAAGCAGTTAGCTAGCAGTTTGGCTGAACTAGTGCGAACCAGCTGAATCCCACCACTGGTTAAAGAGGTGTTAAGGAAGCAGCAACATGGTCTCATCACTCCCTTAACTCAAATGAACATTTTCTTGAGCTCAGGCAGTTTATGTGAGCCCAGAAAAATTGAGGCTGTTGAAGGAGGTGAAGTTAAGGCCATGAAGTTCTCCACCATCTCTTCTGCCTTGGATCTGGAGCTGCACAACCCAAGAACTAGGTGGGCCCCAGCTGCAGTTTGGCATGATGGTCATGTGTAAGCCATGAATTTGTGGTGACACACTGGAGGAGATTTTGTCGATCACACTATCTGCAGTCTGCAACATATAGACTTTGGCCTCTCTTGACTTTCTGACCGAAAGATGCCATTAGGTTAGGGTAGAGAGAATGAAGGACTGGCTCTCCCTCATGCCCTTATCTGCTCTTGTGGAAGAGATGGCTAATCTGGGGTTACTTTCTTCAGTCGTTCTTCTGGGGGAGGGCAGGGCTCTCTTCCTGTCTGACTGGTGGCAACTGGGTGTTTTCATCTGTTGATGATGCTCTGGGATAGATTTGATTTAAGTAGAAGAGGAATCATGGCTCTCTCTTTACATTCATAAATACTGAACACATACAGTGTTCTGCATTCCTCCAAAGCAACCGTTGTGTTTCTTTCAACTACTCTATTTTGGAGTTGATTTTTAAAAAACAAACAAACATGGTGGTGCTTTCCAAGAAAAAAGTACACAGCCCAGCCACAACGAACTCTATAAGAAAATATGTGGTGTAACTATCTTATCTCCTGTGTAAGAAAGCCCGCGAGGTCTCTGGCTGGCCTTCTTATTTACAAATGCCTCTTCCTTGCACAGGGAAAACTCCCGGCCCTCCCCGGGTCCTCACCCAAAACGGAGAACTCCAAGGACAGCGGATCAGGGTGAGAGGAGCTGAGAGGGATGTGGAGGTTTTCCTCGGAGTTCCCTATGCAAAATCCCCTACTGGATCTTTGCGGTTTTCCCCTCCGCAACTGGCAGAACCCTGGACTGGTCTCAGAGACGCAACCTCTTACCCGCCCATGTAAGTCAAGAGCTTTTGCCAAGCCAGAGAAGGTGCTTCCCTCTCTGCATCTGATCATAGAGTGATGACGGTTAACCATCTAGAAAAGCCTATGGCTCTTAGCTTATGGCTCCTGACAATCAGGAAGGATTGTCAAAGAATTATAGGGGGGAAAGAGTCTCCATTCACTTTATTTCTTCATGAAACTTGAGTTTCCTGGGTGGCAAATTGGAGGAGGGCATATGATTGCACAGGAGTTTTTCAGATCCCAACCTTTTCTTGTCTTCCAAACACCTTACAAAACATGTTAAATCAAGTGGACCCTTTTTGAAAGATCCCTGCCAGTGCCATCGTCTTGAAGTGACCTATATTTTATTCCAAGGATGAAAAATCAACAAAATTCCCTTTGTCCCCACCCATAGAAATGCTAACTTGCCAACCTTTTCAGCAGCAATCTTCTCACACATCCATTTGTATTTGTGAACATTTGGCTGGCAATTTGAGCAAAATCTCTTTCTTGTAAAAGATCCCCTTTTCCAAATGACTGCCTGGTGGCTCAGTGGCTAAGACACTGAGCTTGTCAATCAGAAATGTCAGCAGTTCAGTGGTTCAAATCCCTAGTACAGGTCTCCTGTGTGAGAAGTGGGTTGGACTAGATGACCTCCAAGGTCCCTTCCAACTCTATTACTGTTAAAAAATGTGTCGACTATCCCAGTTGTGCCCAAGTTAGTTTAAGGAAAGAAAAACAATAACAAGAAACAAGAAACAAAATCAGGGCTGGAAGAATAGAGCTCCTTGGCTTTTTTCCAAGAAAAGAGTAAATTGAAATTTAATGAGGTAGTTAGGTTGGATTTTTATAAGCTTGATATGTGTATTGAAAGAAAGCTCTAAGGTAGTTTTATATTTATAAAATGAGTATGCAAATGCATGTTTTCTGTCCTTTTATGTAATGTTGAATTTCTAAAGTTTGTAAAATTTGCAAATAAGAGAAAAAAAAGATTTTATTCCAAAAACTTGAGGGAGAGATTTAAATAATGAGCTAATTGGAGTTAATTGAATTTTTATTAGCGTAATATATATAATTGAATGAAAGCTTTAATGTAGTTTTATGTTTAAAATGAACGTTTTTTTCCCTTTATATATAATAGTTGAGTGATTTTTAAAGTTTCTAAAATATCAAAACTAGAAAAAGTGTTTTCTCCCTTTAGGGTTAAAAAAATTGAAATAATATAGGGAATTCTTTTAATATAATTAGTAAACAGAAGTATATACTATTCCCCACACCAAAGAGAAGCAAAGATGGTTAAATTGACTCTTTTATCCAAAGAAGGGAATACATTTAATTTGGTTTTTATTTGAAAATTGTTTCCCGATTTTATGCTTGCAATGAAAAAAAAATTGAAACTTTGATTTTGTTTTTGTTGATTACATAGGTTTGTTGCTATAGAAATGGCTAGTATATACTGTTGTGTAAAAGTAAAAAGTCAAGGTTGTAATCAGTGATGGGATTCAAATAATTTAACAACCGGTTCTCTGCCCTAATGATTTCTTCCAACAACCAGTGTGCCAAATTACTCAGAAAGTTAACAACCGGTTCTCCCGAAGTGGTGTGAACTGGCTGAATCCCATCACTGGTTGTAATGTTATCTTCTACTGTGTTAAAGAGAGTTGGAAGTCCATGCCTGTTTCTTTCTTTTTCCTCTTTACACCATATTTTCTTTTATTTTTCCTTTCCCGCCTCCTAGTTTTGTATTACTTTTTAAAATTTCTCTGTGTATTTTATATTTTGATAAACTAATAAAAATATATTACAGAAATGATTTCAAAGGCAGAAAAGCTTATACAGGGTCCCCAACCCTCAGACCGTGGCCCGATACTGAGCTGCGGCCCACTCAGAACCAGGCTGTGCAAGAGGCAGGTGAGCGCACACGCAATTCTATGTGTGCAGGTAGCGGGCACTCTCCCACGCACATGAAGCTCCATTTATGCAAGTGGTGGGTGCACAAGGTTGGAAAAGCTGGAGACCACCGGATTAGACAATGCCTTAAGTGCTCTTAGGCAACTGCGGGCCACCAATTCTGCTGGTGGTTCAGACCCTGAAGACTCTTCTGCTTGGTTTCTACAAGGTGCCTGCAGGATCCGCTGGCGGGACAGGCTCTCTCAGATGCCTTTACTAACACAGGGCAAAGGATCTCCTTGAGCATCACGGAGGACTGCTTGTACCTGAACATCTACATGCCAGCCCACACTGATAAGGCAGAGCAATTACCGGTAAGCAATTACTCTGCTAGGCAGTGTGGCTTTCTTGTTTCTGGATTTGATTTGGTTCCGTAGCCTAAGGTGAAATCAAGTCACATTCAATATTGTTTATTGATATTTTTAAGTATTGAATGAACGAGAGGAACCAATCAGGAGCGAGTAACTGGAGTGAGAAATTTGAAGGCGCATCAGTGGCTGAAGCCGCGGACAGCTCCGTTTAAAAGGGGCTGCTGCGGCTCGCGTTCCTCATTGCTGTACTGACGCTGAATAAACTGTTTCAATAGCCGAGCGTGACCTGCCTCTTCTCTCTGCACCCACTACCCAACAAATATTGCATCTAAACCTACTTTTATTTCATTTTGTACAGTAAATCTCTCATTGTCTCCATTTGCAGAAGGGCTTCTAATTCAGTTCTCATCTTCCAGAGAGACACTTCCATTGCCCTGTTGCATTTTGCTTCCAGGTGATGGTCTGGATCCATGGTGGAGGACTTGTGCTGGGCTCAGCGTCCACATATGATGGGTCTGTTTTGTCTGCTTATGAAAATGTAGTGGTGGTGGCGATCCAATACCGCTTGGGCATTCTCGGGTTTTACAGGTAAGCTGATATTGTCATCTTCATCTTCACCTGGATGATAGCACATCCCTCTCATCTTTGTTTTAATGCTGTCCTTCCTCTAAAGAGCTCAGGTTCCCTTAAATACTGGGTTTCACCAGCTGCTCTTGCTGTTCAGAAAGAGAGCAGAAATGCACAGCATGAAGTAGAGGGCACAAGATGCTGGTCTTTAATTTCTTTTAATTTATGCTGCCTAGTGCTTTTTCCTTTTGTCTTTGCCCCTCCTCATTGAGATCTGCTGGAGGATTGCTTACAACTGTCCACAAATCCTCCCTCCACAGAAACATCTCCATCTTTAGGCTCCATAAGAGATAATTAGTCTTATTAAGAGGAGCCACAAGAAATCTTCCTCCCATTTCCATAATAGATAGCATTTACAGACCAATAGTCCTCAATCTCCCTCAGGCTCATGAAGAAACTTTTATCTCAAAAAAATACTACTGGTGCTTCTGGACCCATAATCTGTCAGGGACTTGAACAGCCGGTGTCCAAATAGAGTCAGAGGTGCTGACACAAACTTGTAGTTTTATGTAAATAAATGTATTTTACAAATATATATACAGAAACTAGATAGCCAGGCAAACAGGAGCATCATCAGGTAAATCACCACAGCAGGAACATCTTGAGGTAAATTACAGAGCACACAGAGCACCCACACAGAGGAAAAAAGGCGGGAAACAAGGAAACTCCCCCTTTACATTTGCAGCAACCAATCACAGCTCAGGTTGCCTCACTCAGCGGCGGCTGTCTTCAACCAATGAGCTACAACTTATTCTTATTCTTTGTCCAACCCTTCATTGCCCCAGCTATTAAATTGAATATCTTAGCAAGCTTCCTACTTAGCTACAGTCCATATACAGTTTCTATATTGATTCCAGTAAACATGTGACTGGTGATAAAGATGCTGGTTGGCTAAAGTTTTCAAGATATTTCACAATAAAGATTTATACACAGGTGAGCATATTTGCCTACAAGGGAGGGAGGTGTCTAATGATCATAATGCCTCGTAATGTCTTGACAAAGTACGGTAGAACAGTGAAAATGGTACCATGTGGAAGTATATCAATTTATCTTCATTTTGAGAACAGCAAGGCAGATGACTATGAAAAACATGTGGAAAATATGCTTCAGTCCTCTAAAGCACTTGGTGTAAACATGTCACTGAAAATTCACTTCTTACACTCGCATATAGACTATTTCCCTTTGAACAGTGGGGCAGTGAGTGATGAGCATGGGGAGAGATTCCACAAGGATATTGCAGGCATGGAGAAAAGTTACCAAGGGAAATGGAGTCCATCCATGCTTGCCAATTACTGCTGAAATCTCCCCAGGGATGGTCCTACTGCAGTTCACAAGTGAAAAGCCACTTGTGTTTATTTACCGAATAAATATGGAACCTTGTTTAATTTGATTTATTTTATTTATTTATTTTTCAAACATGTATAAAATAACAGATATGTATAAACATGATTATGAATACATGAAATAGATACAAATAAATGGGGACAGTAGGAAAGGGACAGTAGGCATTTAGGTGCACTTATGCACGCCCCTTACAGACCTCTTAGAAATGGGGTGAGGTCAACAGTAGACAGTCTAAGGTTAAAGTTTTGGGGGTTTGGGGAAGAAACCACAGAGTCAGGTAGTGCATTCCAGGCATTGAGCATTCTGTTGCTGAAGTCGTATTTTCTGCAATCAAGTTTGGAGTGGTTTACCTTGAGTTTGTATCGATTGTGTGCTTGTGTGTTGTTGCAGTTGAAGCTGAAGAAGTCATAACAGGTAGGATGTTGTAGCAGATAATTTTATGTACTACGCTTAGGTCAGACCAGAGATAGGTTTCAACAGGTTCTGACCAGTCCTGGAGAACCAGTAGCGGAAATTTTGAGTAGTTTAGAGTTTAGTAGTTAGAGAACTGGTAAATACCATCTCTGACTGGCCCCGCCCCCATCTATTCTCTGCCTCCCAAGTCCCAACTGATCAGGAGGAAATGGGGATTTTGCAGTAACCTTCCCCTGGAGTGGGGTGGGAATGGAGATTTTACAGTATCCTTCCCCTGCCACACCCACCATGCCACACCCACCAAGCCACAGCCACAGAACCGGTAGTAAAATTTGGATTTGCTTGCGCTGCGAGATTCCCCCCTCTCGCAGATGTGGCCCTCATCGTTATCGAGGGCCCACCTCAATGACGGGCTTTGGGACCCAGAGAGGTGGCATGTGAAAACTAGGGGTTGAGGGTTTTTTTTATCAAATTTTTTCAATTAGTTAAATTTTTAAGGGGTCTCAGGGAGGGGGAGGGTCAAATTAGAACTCAGGTTGTGGGTTTGGGGGAAAACCCACAAGGGGGAGGGTCGGGGTTGGGTCTGGCTGCGAAGCACGGTGGGGGGGGTGGGCCCGGGATCGAGGGGGGGGTTAGGGCTCATCCGGATAGTGTTTTGAATATCAATACTGTGGGTGGGAGGGGTAGATATGGCGGGAGCAGAGGGCCACATCGTGTTAGGGGAGCGCGCACTCGCTGTTTACGAGCGATGGCGTGCTCCGGCCCCCAAAGCTCCACCCGTTTTCCAGGTTGCACAGACCCTCAGGGCCCGGGCCTTCGGCTGATGCTGTGCAATGCCAGGTCCGTAGTAAATAAAGCCCCCCTCATTTGTGATCTTAGTCAGGAGGGGGGTGCGGACCTGGCAGGTGTTACGGAGACCTGGTTGGGCCATGAGGGGGGGGGTTCCCCTCATTGAAATGTGCCCTCCAGGTTTCCTTGCCTTCCATCAGCCGAGGTCACAGGGAGGGGCGGGGGGTAGCGGTTATCATTAAGGAAGGTCTGAAACCGAGGGAGGCCACTGTCCCTCAGACGACCGGCTGTGAATCCCTCCTCGTGAAATGGGGCCACGGGGTTCAGATGGGTTTGCTGATCACGTACCTGGCTCCCTGCCACGTGGCAGCAGCCCTGCCCGAGCTACTCAACGTCATCGCTGCGGTGGCAGTTGATACCCCCAGGCTTATGGTCATGGGGGATTTCAACCTACCGTCCGTGGGCGAGGCGTCTGAGGTAGCTCGGGAGTTCATGGCTTCCATGACAGCTATGGACCTGACCCAGTT